CCAGTAAGGAACCAGCAGTGCTCAGTAGCATCTTGGCTCAATATCTAAGTGTTATTTCAGTATTGCAGAGCTGTGGCAATTCTGTTCTGTGAACTTCCCATATTATTCATTTTTCCCTTTCTGAACATTGATTGTCACATGAACATCTATCATTTTGCCAGGTGTCACACTGATTGTGGTACAAATCTTGAACTAAGCATTTCTCCAAAGTAAAATGTTTGCTTCATCACAGAGTGGTTTGTGTTGTAAGGCGCCTTCAAAGATAATCTATTCCAACTCCCCTGCTGTGGGTAGGGACTCCTTCCACTAGAACAGGTTGTTCAGAGCTCCATCCAAACTTGAACACTCCATCCAGGGATGGGACATCCACAGCTTCCCTGGGCAGCCTGTTCTAGTGCCTCACTACCCTCACCATAAAAAAAATTCTTCCTTATGTGCTATCTAAACCTAATATTTTCAGTTTAAAGTTTAAAACAGTTATCTCCTTGTCCTCTAAGTACAGATCCTTATAAAAAGTCTTGCTCTGTATTTCTTATAAGCTTCCTTTGTATACTGAAAGACCACAGTATGGTCTCCCCAAATCTCTTCAGTGTCAACAGGATAACTGTGGAACTATTTCCATATTGGATAAATAAGTTACATTTAAGGGTGTATATAAAATCATGGGAATCAGCACGATCAGAATACAAACTAAAACTTCATAAAAACAAGGGTATCTAATATTCACCTATACATGGTATCTTTTAAAACATAAAGGATCTGTGGATGATTTTTTGAATGCATTTCCTTGCATGTGTACCACTGAATGGATACGACTGGAAGGCATTATGGTAGGTCACATTTCAACCTTCCTGCTCAAAGAGGGTCATCCTAGAGTACAAGGCACAGAATTGTGTCCAGACAATTCTTTAATTTTCCCAGTGGAGGAAACCCCACAACCCTGGTGCGCAATCTGTTCCACGGCTCAGTCAAGTTCTTCTTTGTATTCAAATGAACGGTCCTGTGCATCTATTTGTGCTCATTGCCTTTTATCCTGTTGCTCAGCACCACCAAGCAGAACCTGGATCCACCTTCTTGATGCCCTCCCTTCAGATACTTATTGATCAGGTCCCCTCTCAGTCATCTCTTCTCTGGGCTGAACAGGCCCAGCTCCCTCAGCCTTTCCTGCTAAGAGACATGCTCCAGACCCCTCGTCACCTTTGCTGCCATTCACTGAATTTGCTTCCAAAGCTCCATGTCTTTGTTGCACTGAAAAGCTCAGAAGTGGACACAGAACTCCAAATGTGTCTCACCAGGGCGAGCAGAACAGCAGGATGATCTCCCTTGACCTGCCAGCAGTGCTTTTTCTTGTACACACCAGGACATCATTGGCCTTCTTGGCCACAAGGGTAAAATTTCAGGGTTTTTTTCCATTCAGGAGCAGTTCAGAGCAACTACCAACCAGTACTGAGATGTCAAACTAATCAAAGCTTGGAAGAGAGCTACCATCAGAATTCCAGATGTGGTTGTCTTCTCTGTGTCAAATGTAGTAGGGACAGAAGTAATATTCTGGCTTTACACATACAAATGTGTGAATTTTGCATGAAAAGGCAAAAGGTTTCATGTTAATACAGTGGATTATTTTTTACTTACTGAAATGTACACTCTATTGCCAGTTAAAGATTCTGACTAGGGCTGTCAAACAAGCAATTTGATTTCAAAGTAATGCTGTAATTAAAACTACTGCTGATGGGCATCTGGAACACAATGGGACTGCTGCTCTCATCATAACAGAGATGTAAAGAATTGAATAGAGAATTTTCTTCATCTGCAGCTATCACTACAATACGGATCAAGTAAATTATACATTGGGGAAACATTGTGTGGTTGTACAGGGAAAGTGAGAGTGTAGTTCAATCCTGTCATTTAACTGACATACAGAAGTGTGTTCTGCCTTGCTTCCCAATCTAGCCAGGCTTTTGCTACAGCCCTTATGGTCATAGAGCCACAAAATAAGCAGTATTCCTCCCAGGTGAAGAGGTGAAGAGGCAGAGGGCCACCTCTTCAAAGTGGTACACCAATAGGTGAAAAATAACAACTTAATGTTGTACTATATTCTTAATGTTTTTCTTTTCTTTCTATTCCTCTCCTTTAAATTTACACAAACTAACTCTAAACCTTGCAATATATCCTATTCACCAGCTGCCACCTAGATACAGCCTGCTCATACCTCACCACTAACTTGGTCCGATGCTTCCTTCAGAGGTCACAGAGCACATAGCTCTGGTGTCAGTGTCTATCACCCTAACTCTTGCCACACCTGAGGACCTTTCACAGCACCACAGCAATGTCCTGTCTTGCACCAAACTGCTTCACATCACCAGACAGGTTTAGGAAACTGAAGACAAGCTTCCATGATGTACCAAACAGGAAGAGGTACCATTTAGGTGGCTTAGTGAAATATTTCCACAGACAAAACCTTCTATTTCAGTACTGAGACTAGAGCTGACAATACAACTCATATTACTGTCACATGCACTGTGACATCAGGCAAAGCACAGTCACAACTGGGTCAAACATTAACATGTCTAACACTAAGGCCAAAGGATGTGTCTTCACAATAAAAATGTGCCCAAAAGCAGCATGATGGGGCTGCCCTGGAAAGAAAGAAAAGCCATATGCCAGTGTGACCCTATTATCAGCCCAGAGGTTTTTCAGCTTTTATAATTCTTTAGGTCTGGTTTGCTAGGCTTCAAAACCTAGCACCAGGGTGTAAAACTTCCATATAGTTGTTTCAATTCCAAAGACTGCTGCTTACTCTAGGGAAGACTACTTACTAATTTTTACAGTAGAGAGTTTGTTACTACCATCCCTAGTTTTAGCAATACGTCTCTCAAATCTCTGCAGATTACATCATGGAACTACAATATAGACTCATACCCAGATCCATTTGTTGTATGAAAAATTCTAAGCAGTTTAATGGCAATTTCTCTTATAATAGTTTAGCAAATTTCCACTTTCTCACATGATTTCTTTACATCTCTTTTGTAATTAATCCATTTACCAAAATATACGAAAATTTTTTTTTTCTTTTTATGCATAGTGTAAAGGTAGGAGATATAATTCCAATTTTCTCAGATTTCAGAAAAGGTACAGCTTTTGGTTTCCTTACAGCAACAACAGCTTTTGGTTTCCTTACACATTTATTCTTCAGCTACTTACAAAACAATAAATCTATCCTTGCATCTCTTTGATCACTCTCCTCCAACCATTCAATAATCCATTAGTAATTATAACTTCTTAGTTTTTTTAGCTTAAAAGGGTGTTATTTATCACAGATTGTCATGAATCCTGGTTTTATATTATCAAGAGTCCAATTGCTGACTGGAATGGGGAATCTTCTTCCTAATTAAATGGACTGATTTAATGTAAAAACTTACAACATCTCACTTTTTAATTAGGCATAACATTATTAAGTACAAAAAGGATCATCCTCACTTTATTTTCTACTCAGAGAATGAAATACAGTGAAAATTAAACAAATACCAGTATAGTGCCAGACCTAGTAACACTTTCAGCATACCTTTGCCACTACTAATACATCAGTATATGATGTCATTTATTCCTGATTCATTCCACTTACTTGAATGTCAGGAATAGGCTTAAGCTTTTTACATCCAAGCACCCTGGAGTATTGAAAAATATTAAGTTCAAAGTTGAAAAAAAAAATGGGATCAATTTAAACAGAAACAGGAAAATATAGAGCATCAACTTACAGAAGACCACAACTTACTCCCCACACTGCTACCTGTATGAATCATTTCTCTCCACTAGAATCATTAGTTAAACAAGGATGTGGCAATCCAGACTTCCAATACTTATTTAATTCTTGCTTGGCTTACAGATGTTAACTACCATAAGAAGATCTTATTGTAGCCAACTGACAGGAATCTCTGAGACATGGTACTTTCCTGAAGGACAGTTGACACCTGGGATAAAGCATCCTTCACTGAACACAGCAGATACAGAGGGAGCATGCAGCTTTCTCTTTTTAGGCCAGATCTGGGAAAGACAATGGCCAGAGACTTTTTTACAACAAAGGAGAATGCTAGAACATACTTTTGTGAAATCAAACTCAAGAGTTAGGAGATAGAGATGATTCATTAGAAAAGGAATTCAAAGAATTGTTCATTGAAAAGAGCTTGTCTTATGATTCCCTCTCCATATGGGCCAACTCAGGTGAGATCAATATTTTCTTTATTTTTAACACCTTTTAATGTCTCCAGACATTCATATCACACCAAAAGAGCCCTACTTCTAAATACTGAAATTACAAACCCAGTTTGTAAGTGCTGATGGGAAAAAAAGACCAGGAGTCTCAGCAACAGGTTGACAAAATTCCTCCTACAAATCTGATGTGGGAGAATCAGGATTTAACTGTGCACAAGGGCTCAAAACCCCAAATACAGACAAACAGCTTGGAAGGCTAGAATTGCTGCACAGATTAGTCTGAAACAAACCTCAAGTAAATAATTTATTCAGGATCTGTTCCTGTATTCCCAGTATTCCTGTATGCCCCTCACTTGATATTCAGTCTACCATTGTTTGCTTGATGCAGTCTTCACTCTGTATTTTATTTCTACATGATTTTTGCCTTACTGGGTTAAAAAAAATTGACAAGATGCTAGGCACAATTCAGAAGCAGCAGGAGGTTCCTCGTCAGACTCATGAATCAGCTGCAAAAATCAGCACAAGTTTTTTTTGTAAACACACACAAAAGCATGCTTGCTAAGAGGAATGCAAGGCTATTATAAAATGGAAAGGTTGGATGTTTTTTGGAAAGAGATAAGCCAGAGCTACAGTGGGAAGCAAGTACACACAAAAATCAGAAAAAGAAATTTATGAAGTTAAAAAGTTTAATATGGAATCCAAATTAGATATTTGTAATTGGCAGGGCAAAAAGGGTTCTTTAAGCATTCATAATAATACTTTTGTTTCCATGGCTCCTACAGGAAAGACTCTTCTTGCAAAGAAATAAAACTTACATGAGGGAAGATTGCTTTTTAGGGAAAAGGAGTATACCAGACTCTAAAATTCTAACATACATTAGTCTTGATTTTCATCCTGAAAATGACAAAAATCAAAAAGTTTCAAACACAATGGTACTTCACATCATGACATGATTAGATTTTATTTTTTCACATAATTTACTTACTTTGAGTAACACTAAGTTGACAGAAATCTCCAAATAGTAAACTTAAAAAGATGACTTTCAGATAGGAATGTAACTCAACCCTAGTACATTCCACTGACTTGCTCTGAGGTTCCATCAACAAAGGGATAGTACATCATTACCATTAATAAATTGCTACCACTATACTGACGTTACACAAAAATTTTAAGGAAAAAAAGAAATCCCCATTGTGTGCCAAAGAGTTTAGTCTGAAACCAGCTATGTTAATGCTAAACACTCTGACAACAGCAGATAGCTTATACACAAGTTAAAACAGGAGACTAAGGTCAATATATGGGCCTTGGCAGTAAAGTCACAAGCTGAGAAAAAGAAAGTCATTCAAGGGTTCTACAACAGGAGATCCTCTGAAGATCTTTGCATAACCACAGTGACCTCTCTAGCCCAGAGTATCGAAGTGTGCAATAAGCTAGAAGGACCAAGTGAGAAAGTGGGAACAAAAGTACACTGCAGTGCCAGAAAAAGGCAGAGATTACTAGTTACTCCAGCTGGACAAATTTCCCCATATAAAAGTCTACACAACTGAAAGAATGAAAAGGTAGCACAAATTCTATAGCAAGTAGAGAGGGAAAACACTTAAGAAACACCAGACAAAGAAGTCAGCTGCACTTTGGGCTCAAAGTCAGTGCAGAGAAAGTCACAGGCTCATTGAGTGGAATACAGCAATCCAGTCTGGCACTAGGTTAACAAATGAAAAGCAAATTTTTTGCAGCAGCAAATATGCATGCTCCAAAATAAGAATGTAACATGAATAACCTAGGAGTTTAATATACAAAATGCATAGAGAAATAAAAAACATCTTAGAAATTGATTTAATCAGACTCATGAATCTTAGCTTTAAATTAATAAATGTTAATAGGAAGAAAGGCCCAGTCCTGCAGACTTTAACCACAATTGCTTGCAATGGTTATGACAGTACTTCTAGCACTGGAGCAGTAGTGTGAAGGCTGGATTCTCAAGTTAGGAACGCTGGTGTTAACTCCTAAATACTACTGGTGGTACACTGTTGGAATATAGCCCATAAACTAACTAGATGTCCCTAGAGACCGTGTCAGTTTACCTTCATTATGCAGTCAGAGGATTTGTAAAGCATTAAGACAGCTTATGACAAATTTTGCTTCCTGAATTTTACCAAAAGAAGGCATTGCTGAAGTCACTTGTAACTAGAAGTGAGAAATGTGACTCAGATCCATAGCATCTTATAATGTTATTCATGTTTTAACCACACATTTTCAAATTTTGCAATCAGTCATGATCAGTCTGGGGATCCTCATCTTCAGTAAAGCCAAAGTTGCTGCAGCACTGCAAGACTGGGCCTCTGTTCCATTCAGTTAATTAATATTTCTACAGGAACTAAAAGAAAATAAACTTGTGCGCTACAGCCGTGCAGTACCACAGTCATGTTAAACCCCTTTAGCTGAGTGCAGCATGGCTCTAACCCATGGGCATTTATGACTGATGCATCTGCATGAAGCTTCTCATGAATGTTGCAAGCTTCTGAACATCTTCTACAGTCACCGCATTATATAAAGAGGCACGGATTCCTCCCACAGACCTGAATTGAAAATAGGAGAGAAAAAAAAAAGAACCAGAAAAGTTTTGTATATTCTAAAAAAAAGACATTAGTAGCAGTCACAGACATTTAAATCTATTCCTGCTCTAAAATTATAAAATTCTCAGTTATGTGCATGGGAAGCAATATTTAATTCTTCAAGGCAGGCTTGCAATCTAGAGAAGCTTAGTATTTATTAGTCATTTACAGGTCCAAAGCTATAACCCAAAGACATCAAAAAATTAATCCCACAAACACTACTTAACATGGGAAAGAACTCTTGCAACCAGGTAGACAAGGCATCTGAGAGATCTTATACACTGACACAATCTGACCTCAAAGGATATCTTTGGCATCTGCACGGAGACAGATTTGCAGAAGAGAGCAGAATTAAGGATAAAGCTCTCTGAAGCCCACCACTTCACCTAAACAGTAGCTGAGTCACCAGCAATCTCTGATTACAATCTCTAGACTGCTATTCTTAAGTGTTGCCAAGCCAGTATGAGGAACAGCTTATGTGTGAGAAAGGCTGGTAAGTCAATGCACAATGCCTGATGCTGTACCACTGTAGTAATAGTTTACTTTGCACAGGACAGAGATTCACTTGACTAATACTCACCGATGTCCTTTCAGAGATATCATGTTAAGTTCCACAGCCTTCTCAAGAAATTTCTTCTCCAGGGCTTCATCACCCTTGACACTGCCAATGCGGAAAGGTACATTCATTCTGCTTCGGTTCTTTCTCTCCACTGGACATCTAGAAAGGTTGTAGAATGTAATGCTTAACCCGCTTTGTTAAATCTGTATTTCAGCTATATGCAGTTTGTGAAATGAATAATCACACCTATTTAGAACCAAAATCAACCCTTCATAATCAAAATCGTCATTACTTTCTGTGAAAGAGAGAAACCTTCCTTTTTTAACCAAGTATAATAATGGAAGTGGTGAAGTGGAAGGCTTATTAAGCCTTCCTGGCACACTCAGAACTGTGCCGGAGAAACAGTGTACAGAGGCTTGTGAACAGACCTAATTAAACTTAAAAATAATAATAATGAAAATTAATAAACAGTTACTAGCACAGGAGAGGTAATTACAAGGAATTTTGACTAAGTCTAAAGCAGTTTCTTCTCTTCCTCTTCAAAGACTGACGTTTCAACTAGTCAAAAGTGCTACCAGAATTACAGTCAGCTAAACAGAACTACAGGAAGTACAAGAATACAGCATAAGTAAATTTTCATAGACATTAGAAACTTTTGTTAGTGATTTCAGTCCATCTTCTAAATTAGCATTACTCAGAATCACGAAGTAGAGAAGAGGTATCTCTAGAACAAATCTTGCACTGCATACATGACCACATTACATGTGATGCATCACAATTCCTTAATTTCTTAAAATCCCATTTAATTTCTCTTCAACTATTTTGTGAAGCTAAGAAATTACAGGGGAGGAAGAGAAGATTTAAATATCTTTTTTAGTGTTTCTACTTATAAAGGAGATCTGAAGCCTTCAGATTTATTTTTTTCTAAGGCTGTGATGTAGATTCTTGTAGGCATTCAATATAAATGAGTTTTCAGAAATCGCATATGGATTTCATACCTATTACTATGCTATTTGGAAAAGAATGAGTATCAATCTTTTCAGATCCTTTCTTGTTCTTTTGTCCAGATGTTTCCATGAAGAAAAAAAAAAAAAGATCCATCCTAACACCTGCCTGTGCAAATCATCAACTTCAGGTTCAACCAGGAAAATAATGTTTAAAAAGGCCTATGCTTCTGAGCACTCCCATATCTGAATTACTGCAGCCATGCTTTAGTTTTAGAATATCCAGTTGCTACTAGGCAATCTGATGTAACTCAGTGCACAGATGTTGAAAAACAAACTACAAATGGCACAGAGCACTTCATGGAAGAAAGGCTCCATTTGCTAAATGGCTTGTCACATGGCTTACTCAGGGAAGCATGCCACAGATTAAGTGCCACATTACAGCTGGGAAGGCAGCTTCAAATTAAGTCTTCCTTTAAGTTATAGCTACAATTTAGAAATTCACAGTCTTAACTGTATTGCTTAGGAAGCTGCATACAGCTCAGTTAGTGAAGCTTGTTCTGCTTTCCCAGCTGACTATTTACCATCCAATTTGCACTGCATTTCCCACTCATTGCCTTACAGACCAACTTGCCAGATACAGATTTCTGTTTGTCACAAAACATTTTTTTCAAGGCTTCATTTGCTTTCTGACGTTTATGAAAAACCCCCAGGATTTCCCTGGAGTAGGATCACAATCCTGATCATGGTGATGCTAAAGGCAAAGCTGTTTTCATTAACTAAATGGATAAGAAGAATGTATTAAATATTATGATGAAACTTTTCTCTGACAATTATGACTGCAGACAGCTTTAATTTAAAATTCAAATTTAATTTGTTCTATCCTATCTTGGACTTGAAAGTAAATTAGGTCCCCCACTGTTGCTTTTACACTGAAGGTGAAAGAAAATATTTTGCAGTTTCATGGTTAATTAGTAGTCTGAGCTTGGCAAATATTAAAATTATTACAGTATCAGCTTTTAACTATGCATAGGTCCTGTGAGCTCAAAAATACCTTGCAACTCTATGTAAAAGTCAAGAGGGTAAATCTGCTTTGGAAAGCCAGCAGAAATAACTGAAGAAAATCGACTGTGCATAAACCACATAAAGAAAATGTATTCCATTTTGAGGTCTGATCTTTCTATTTTATTTCAGGAAGTGTTTCAGAACTTAGTATAATTAGCTAATAAAAATGCTCTGCTTGACAGAGAAAAAGCAGAGTCTTTCACTCCTGGAAAGTGGTAGGCAAAATACAATGCAAAGGGGTCTCTACAATTTCTTACAGGCAATTTTCTCTGTTTTGGCCTACGTGTCACCAAGAGATTCCGTAAGCATACAAACCAGAATCTGCATATCTGTTCTCTGCATGCTCTTCTCCCACACTCCTGTTTTATTAAGTTTAGAATATGTTTTTAGTAGGGTTCACTAGTGATCTATACACAATAAGTTAAAATAACTTCCTACTTATGGAAGGAAGAGACTTATGAGACTTATCCGTGGACAGTTACCAAGCAAATGGTTTGCACTAATAGTATCTCTAGGAGTCCTCAAAAAAGGTGACTTCAAAAATACAATTAAACTTTCAAAAGTTATGAATGTTTGGTTATGTAGCAAATATTGAAGCAAACAGGAAAAGTGTAGCAACTTACGCATAAAATCCATTAGATTTGTCTATAATATCATAAATCATCCGTGACTTGATTAAACTGAGTTTATCCATTGCTGCAACTCCACCATTATTCTTTATCCATTCCAGTACCAATCCCATTATATAAATACTGCAAAAGGGAAGAACATTTTTCAGTTAAATTATTCAAACAGGGAAGAAATAAGTCTTGTCTAATAGTTCACAAAATGTTCCGGTAACAAAATGCCATGTTTGATTTAAGGGCACTTAAGATTAACAAATCAAAACCTAGACTATTTTACAAGTTATGACAACTCTAAACAGACAATGTTTTCTGGACACAGGATGAAATATCCTGAAATTCAAATGTCATGCATATTGGACTGTTGGACCCATTTTAATATTTTAATCCTTTGTACCACAGAAGGGCATGTCCTGCAGGCTTCCTGCAGCCCAGCAGGGCTCCCAAAGTTATCCCCAGACATGCTGCGTGCACTGCCAATTCATTCATGCCTACACAACTGTCAGGTCATGCCTAGAAGGACTACACAACTGCCTAGGAGGAGCCAGATTTAGCAAAAAAGTTGATAGCATTTGCTCTGCGCAGCTGCTCTAGCAAAAATACAGGAGTGAATCTCAGATACATGTACATTAATATGCCAGAAATGTAACCATATTTTCACAAATGTTAAAAATAAGAATTCTAATCCCGTTTCTGTCTACAAAGACCTTTTGCCCACGTGAACAGTGAAGTTTGGTGAAACAAATTATGATGTATCACACTTGACTGTCACCAGTCAAGTTCTTAGTAGAGATCTGGAAGCCTACCGGCATCACATGGCTTGAGACCAAGAATTTCAATGCTAGTGACTAAGTGCAACATAAAAAAATCCTTGACGCCTTTTGCCTTTGTGCTTTTGCTACAAAACTCACTTGTTCAAGTTCAGACATTTCCCACGACTACAACAATTTACATAAAAACCTGCTCACAAGTTTTTATGGCCTATATCCAACAAGCTCATTCTTATGAATCCCTTCATTATTGATTCCAAGGGAGCGCTCAGAGAACATTACCCTACAAGTTTCCCTAATACATATCTAGCAGGAAGCTGTTTTAAATTTTGCTGCTTTTTATTTCTAAAGGGATGCCAGTACCAAATCCTCAAACACTTCCAAAAGGCTGCAGAATAACCAAGGCTGCAGACTGCCATTTATAGGAAGTACCCTTCTGTTCTGAGAGCACAGTCTTGCCACATCTGTGACAGCACATTATCAACGACTCCAGTGTAAATGATTTAAGTGAAGTATAGACTATGCCCTTAGCAAGTACATAGGACCACATTCACATCTTGCCCTCACTTCCTTGAGCAAAACTTTTCGGACAAGTGAACTGTTAAGAAGTCAGCCTTAGAGTCATTCACAAAAACCCAGACAGCTGAAACCTTTTATCCTTCTTTTACATCAATCAAAATAATGTTTCTGGAACAATTTTAAGTGCAAAATGCATTTCAGAGCTTGTAAATGAGATTTTTATAGCAAATTCATTGTTAATTTTAGCCAAACATATTAGGGTCAAAAAGTCAACTATGTAGTGCCACGAGGTTAAAGCATCACCTTAATTTAATTAGCATCACCTTAATTTAATTTAACATTTTGCTGAAATACCTTTTGCAAATTCAGTTAATATTTCCTGCCTGTTTGCCAGCAAACCATTAACAAGGAAAAGAGCACAGAAAAAGAGAGCTAAGAAGCTTTGCCAGTTCCTTAAACAGGAACAGGCAGTTAGGGCCAAGCCAAACAGATGTGCATCCTGCCAACATTTCAGTCTGTTTCATTCTGGATTCTGGAGCGTACTCCAATGTGAGTCTGTAGCATGAAGTGAAATCCAGCAAGACAGCGATGAGAATGGAGAAACTGTTAGTTCAGCTTCATTTTCAGTTCCCTTAACCACCCACTATGTGTTAAGGCTGCTGTCAAGATACTGACAGTTACTCAGTCAGATACTGAGTAACAGCTAAAGCAGCACTTTCTTTTCAGAAGTTTTTTGCAATGGTTAAAATAAGGCTGCAGAATTTAATTTGTTTGCTTTTCAAATCAGAGGAACAAGACTGTGTCCAAGCACTGAGATTAAGTAGAACTTCAGTTTTTCAAATGGAAATAGCTTTGTACTTGGAAAACATGAATGGCTGGATTTAAAACCTGGCATATTCAAGGATACAGTGTCCAAAAACAGTACGTGTGACTTGGCAGTCAGGCACATAATCGATCATGAAATAGAGGTTTCACCAGGCACTGGGAAAGACATACATCCTGCCTATGTTACAAAGCTACACTGAGCAGACCAAAATCTGGAAACACTGAATAGCTAATTGTTGCTGGGTGTACCCAGCCAACAGGGCAGACAGGCTGCCAGTAAGAATGCATAATTACAGCACTACACTCTGTACAGTAGGCACACAACTTGGGGAACAAATTTGGCACTGTAAAATGTGGCATAAACAAATGTTCACAAGATTTACTGTTCTGTTGATAAAGATAGCTGCTCCTATGTCATGGCAATAGTACACTGCAGTGACAATCAGCAGATTCAGAGATACTTAAATTGAGTAAAATTTGAAGTGATACTAATTGCAATTATGGAATTAAGTTATAGGGTTTATATACAGGAATCACTGATCTTTGGGTCTGTACAGTACATTTAATGTGTGTCAGAAATCATTAGGCAACCTAACTTTGCAATTCTGGAACATGCAAACAAGCCATTAGAGCTGAGACTAAATACCAGTATAAAATTTCATTATGAAATTATCCTGAAAAGGAAATCTTTATTTTCAAAGTAATTTTAAAAGATTCTGGGGGGGAAAAAAAAATGGGATAACTAGATTGAAAATTAAAAAAAAAAAAATTTCAGAGGATGCTGGTATAAAAATTCTTCAGGATAAGAACCAGTAGATACTACTAGCTCAATGGCTAAACATACTACCAGCAAAGCACTATTTCACTAGTTATCAGAAGCTACAAGATAGCAATTTTTAAAAAGCAAGCTGTAGTCTGATCTGCTTCTTGCATAATGAAATCTTCAAGTACATGTCAATTTTATGATTCTGATTGCTAGCAATGTTCATAAAGCTAGATCAATTTTATCTTTGGATGCCAAACCAAACACTGAGATGACAGTCAAAGAATTATGCAAAGCTCTACAAGAGAGTAAAAGAAAAGCAACTACTAAAATGCCTTTTAAAAAATTCTCCCAGTTTCATTTCAAAATCAACAGTAGTGAAAGATGTAGAAAGAACAAGAAATATTTTTAAATATTAAAAGAATACATAATCTTGTAATATATTATTTAAAACTTTAATCACAATATTATTTACCATTTTCCAGTAAAGAAAGTCAGTGGGGATCTGGAGGTTTAAATGCTGAGAACAACGTCAAGAAGAAATTTAATCAAACTGTATTTAGGATCAAGAAGCAAGTCTAAGTGCCAAATTATATCCTTACAATAAGAGAAGCATCACCACTGAATTGACTAGAGCTGTGCTCATGTAAACCAGAACTGCATCCTGAAACTTCTACAATGGAGCTATGACATGTAATATTCACTTTGAAAAGGCTACATCCTCTATGGATGAGTCGCACCAGGCAACACAAAGCCATCAGTCACACGGCTGGACACTTCCCACGTTCTCGCAAGAATCACGTGAAACACTCCAAGGTATCAGTGGCTTGAGGGCAAGCACACGACTTTGGAAGCTTTTCTTGATAAGAGCGGCAGATGGCAGTGCGGCAGCTTTCAGAGTAAGGGATATCACATAGCAGGGTGAGTTACCTGTAGCATGGTGGAGTGTTATACAATGAGCTATTTGCTGCCTGTGTTTTGTAATCCAGTACAACAGGACATTCCTTCAGGGCAAATCCCAGCAAGTCCTCACGTACTATTACAACAGTAACTCCAGCACAGCCAACATTCTTCTGAGCACCAGCGAAAATCACACCAAACTTTAAAAAGGAAGAAGAAAAGAACTTGTTACATGCATTCACTTGTAGATCTTACTACTGAGTAATACCCCAGGCATACTAGTCAGCTGAACAGAACAGAGAATGCATTGAAAATTAGCAGGTTGTAGGTTAAAAGAAGAGTTAGCAGAAGTTCTGATTTCAAAGTGCACTTACGGCTTGGCTTCTCAGCTGAAGAAGATAATCAACAACGAATTTCACAACAGTTTGCTAAATGTTTATTTAATAGCTGCCTCTCAAGGCAGCCTGTGGCAATTTCACAATACTCCAGGAAAATTTACTAAAATCAAATTCCTACACAGTTCGCAGTATGGAGAACCCACCTGGTATTTCAGAACAATCACCATAAAATCCACCGGTACAAAGAGGCAGATCAGGAAAGGCCAAGTTGAATGCATTAACAACTACTCTGTTTTGCTACACACAGGTAAGAAAGGTCAAACATGCTATTTCACTAGTCAGTAATACTTCTACTCATAGTATACTTTACAAACATAGTAATCACCTATGTTCTGCCTTTGTACTATCTGTGAAACAGATACCATAATCATGAGGCAGAGGAAGCTCTAGGAGCTTAAGAGGTTACAGATTTTTCATGACAGAGGCAGGATTAAAAAAACTTATTAACAGTACCCTCCTGTAGCTGTACACTATATACAGACTAAATGTTATTTAGAAGACATTTATTTTAGCTGTTATTTTCTTTTAAGCAGGTATTTTCTTCATCAGTGAAGATCACATAGTAGCTAAATAATCTTGGGCAGTTTAACATGAACAATTTCAATATAGTTCAGTATGTTTTTACGAGAAAAAAGAAAACAGACATTGAAATCTCAAACCTGAAATGTCAACACTTCTATCTGTCATCAGATATTCAATTAACAAAACACCACTTCCTTAATTTCACCGCTCAGCATCTCTAGCCATCCAGACATTTCAAAGTGCTTCACTATATGCATTAAATTTTGAAATGCTTTGTGCAGTCACTGTGTCCAATTGTTTACCTTGGAAACATCCACAGGTTTGGACAGGAAGTTTGATGACATATCACAAACCAAGACTGCTCCTTTGACATCAGGTACAAAGTCAAACTCCACACCATGAACAGTTTCATTAGCACAATAATACACATAAGACGCATCCGGATTAAGATTCCAAGTGCTTGGATCAGGAATGCCTAAGAGCCAAAAAAGAAACCCAGAGGTCACTGGAGACAAGTAATTTTCTTGGCATGCAGTTTTACCTGAACATGAAACTTAAGTGCAAACCAAGAACAATTTTGCCATATCGACTATTCATCAGGAAGATAATGTATCTGCAAAGCCAATACACCAGTGCACTCCCAAAATTCTATGGTGAGCCATCATTAAGTTTGCAAAAGCTTTTGATTTTCACTCCTTATTCTTCAAATTATTTTCCTCCCATTTGCAATTGCAGACTACAAACTACTGTCTTAGGGGTTCAAAACAGCATTTCAGAGTATCAGACACTGAGTACAAGAATCTTCCTGCTGCCTTTGGAACCACTGAAACATGCAAATTCTCATGTACAAAGTTCTCTAAAACTGTTTCGGTGCAATACCAGAAGCATTTAAGTCTTGCCCAAGCTGAACAAACACAAGGTCATCCACCTTTCTCCCATTTTAAGCTTTGCAACTGATTTACAAAACTAAGATCTCCTCTGTCAACAGGCAATATACAGGCATGTCCTGACAGCACAAACAGGTTTGGCATGGAACAAATAGTTCCTCTCTTTCTTTTTTCCACAGGACCTGATGGGAGGTGGAGGAAAGGGTGGGGGACACTACCATTGCCTTCATCATTATTTACTGCCTCTCCTCTTATCTACAGCTAAGAAATTATGAATTACACTCCCCCAGACTGGAAAGTTGTAGGTTCAATTCCTTCCTGTGCTCCATAGAATATAAACTTACTTTCCAAGTTAGTGCCCTAATTGCCACTACACTAATGTATATGGGGATATTCTTTGTCTTGTTGCCACTGTTTAGTTCAAGTGCTGTAATTTGGACCAGAGGGAAGAAAAGTGAGCAAAAGTAGCAGGAATAGAAACTAGATCTCAGGTATTCCTCCTCCAAGAATTATTTATGTATATTCAGTGACACATTGGTGGGAAGGATAATAATTCGGGAATCCTTTAAAGCAGGTAACAGAATTCAGATCTCCCATATCCTGGGTCAACAAGGTTAATATCTCAGGCCTGCTTCTAAATTTTAGAGCAATCTTATTACTGAGTGTACTTGAAATTGAAATATCTCACAATATCCCTGTGAATAGCTTAAGAACTCAGTTAAATATTAGAAAAAAAAACCTGAGAGAGCCCAGACAATTTCCCTACTTAGACACTTTTGTCTTGCCACTTATTTTCTGGCATATGCTCAGCCCCATTTCACCATTTTCTTCTAGTGGAAACTGTTAAGCCATTTATTAAATCTCTCAGTGTTGAACAAGGAGGGGCAGACATTCTTTCGAGTGCTTGGGCAGTCAACTCTAGTTAACATTCAACAGCCCAATAGCTACATTAGATCCATTTTTAGAGCGAGTCAAAAAGCTAAGCATTCACATGGACAGATGCAATCATCAACTTACTTGTATAGGCTCCTAGTTTGGGATGAACAATATTTACTTTGGCATACTTCTCCGCTTCTTTAGCTGCTTTTGCTGACCAACCTCCAGTAACCACATAATCTGCCTGCCTTCCCTCCTTTAAACCAATAAGGTTAAGTGGGACGGCACTGAACTGAGCAGATCCACCTCCTTGAAGGAAAATAACTTTGTAGTTGTCTGGTACATTTCTGCATAAAAGAAATAACCATTTATGTTATTCCCAGGTGACACAGGATGCATACAACTTGATATTATGCATTTAACCCATGACTGAGGAAGAACGCTGTCATTTCAGAAGACTCTTTGCCTAGAGGTTAGCTCAATCCCACTAATTTACCTCAGCACTGGTCTTGAGAAACAGCTTAAATATTTACAAGTAAATGCTATGAATTTTAGTAATAAAAATTTGCTGAAAAAAGCTTCCTCTCCCCAACCCTGGCACTGCATGAAACAAACTCACTCCTGAGTAGCTGTATGCACAGACTTGAGAGATATTCCATCACAATTAATGTTGACTTTTAATTGTATCTATTGGTAGCTTCATGACTTTTCTGTCATGAAGTCACTAAAGTGCTTACAGTAGTGCTCAGCTTTGACACCCTCCAATTTGAAAGTGCAACAGTACAGTAAAGTATACATGCAGAGCAAGTGCAATAAAGAGTCGCTCATACAATCACAAAAATTACATATTCAATTTATTAATTAAAATCCCTTTGTCAATGATTCTGGCTGGACTGAGGGTCAAGCGTTTGTGTTAAATGGCCAACATTATTGCCTACTATGAGACAGTAATTCTAATCCATTATATATTTATTTTGATTTTTTTTAAATGTGTCACTCTATGAATAGCAAGAGGGCACTTGCTCAGTGATTATAACACTGATACACAGAGCTTTTGTTAATAAAATTGGATTTATGGACAACATGCAGATCACATTTATACCACTAGAGAACTGATTTTTATTGTTTGCACTTATTTCTTTTAGTTCATGTCCTTCATTAATTCTATGAAGGTGACAAAAATCAAAATTTCAAAACAAATTCAGCTAGATATGTAAAAAACATCTTAACCTGATAAGAATCCATTGCCACATTCAAAAATATAAGCATCAAACTTACATATAAGAAGATCAGTGTCCTCCTCAAGGTTATTACTCTACAATACACAGTACCCACGCATGAAAAACACCACCAAAGATGTGCTTTCAACAAAAGGTCTCCACATTAGACATTACTGATGCAACTAGCACATGCATAAGATTAAAATAAGCAGAAAGTAATTCACTTACAGCAATTCACGCATGAGATTTTCAGTTGTATTTAGAATTTTTGTGAAATCTGAAGACCGATGGCTCATTTCTTTGGTGGAATAGAGAGAAGAAATAACATTAAACAAGACAGTAATAAATGAATTTGGTTTTAAAATTTTGTTATGCTTTAAACCTTTTACACTACAGACCCAAAATGCCTGAAGGTTGTCATTCCCATTTCCTACTCCTCTTTAAGTACATAAATACTCCTAAATACCCACTGAAGACTTACACCTACAGTCTTGTCCAGATACAGGCAAATCCTGTTCATTGACATTTGGCACCCATATGACCTTATTACCACTAGGAACAACCACATTTGTGGGTAAAAAAATAGTCTCTTGAAAGATTTCATTCTACCTCATGCTAAGAACCTTCTCTTCTGCTAATGCTGTAAGAAGTATATAATAATGTACAGGAAAAGTACAGGTTTTGTTCTCTTACCTTTAGCAAGGCTTCTTCACACAGTAAAGCTAATTAAACATTAAGGACAATTACATAGTAATTCCTTTTAAATCCATAGGCTGTCTTCCATGTGTAAGTGTACAATTTAAACATTAATCTGAATTGCACAGAGACAGCTGCACGTTCTACTTTTAGCAACTAATAATATGCTCACCATCTTGATGCATAAATCTTTTGTGTAACAGGGGCTGAAAAGCCAGCCAACAGGAGAGCACCGCCTTCCTAATGGGAGGGATGCTATACATCTGCATGATATCTATATGGTATACACATCTGTACAGACACACAGGTATTAGAAATGGAGCCGAAAGATCAGGAAGTTTTATTAAACAATTCAGTTAAACAACAAAATCATGAAAAGTGTAGATTTTTTAAGTCTTACCAAGAACACTTATACCAAGTCCTTTATAGTCTACCAATTCTTTCTGTGCTTCTAGTAATACCTATCAAAAGAAAAAAAATCCAGAAATAAATCAGGGAATTTTCCACTATCTGGAGTCTCTGATGCATCATGCCTATGCCAGCTGCCCCATATTGCAATAACTTGACACTTGTCAAGTGAGATTAACAGAAGTATAGTTACCAATACAATTTTGCTGTACCTAGAAGCTTAAGGCTTTTCGTAAGATAGAAACTTAAATAATATGCTTGTTGTGGAGACCATGCTGTAAGTTATTATTTCAAATGCCACATTTCCAGATTCATGAATGATTTCTAGGAGTTGAATGGAACTGTTAACCTTTCCAGAACATCTAATGTTTGCAAACATTAGCTCTTTCTAAGCAAGCATCCTAAATACCCACTCCCACCACTCCATCCTCTGTCCTTTCACTTGACTTGTGCAAATAGGACGACCAAAGTATTGAAGAAAACATAACAAGAAAGATCAGCTTGGGGAATTGGATATCTTAATGACAACATGACAATGACTGGTTTCACAAAATGAAGTTCCACACTTTTTGAAGATGAGCCTCTATCTTATTGAGAGTTAAAAAAGCAAAATTTTGAGACAACAAAAAAAAAAACAGTTCACCAGCGAAGTAGTGCTTCAGCTATCTTTTTTTTTTTTTTTCCCCTGCTTTTTCCCCTAGCTTTTAAGTATGAACAAAGTAGCATGAGATTCTAACCACTGGATCTGCAGCTTCTGATTTTGGAAAATTCTTGTCTGAGAGCCAGAACAGTCTTGGCTGCTCCTAAAGGAAGCAGGCGAAGAGGGAGCCCCAGTAGAACCAAACAAATACTGCACGCATGCACCCTAGTATCTGACAAGAAACTGCACACCCTGGGCAATTTCAGGAATAAGAAATCTTGCTGACCAGGTAGCTGCATGGCCTGTCAACTGTAACAGCTGGCTACCAAAAGGTCAACTAAGTGAAGTTTTAACCACCACATTTTACAAGCAAACTTATCCATCCCAGAGAAGGAGGCAAAAAAAGTAAAGGAGAACACACAGACTGCTAGAGTAGTAGTGCGTGCTAAACTGCTTGATACAATCCAATTCTGTCAGTAACATTCATCATCTGAAAATCTGCACATGCCTCACAACAGACATCTGTGACACACGTTACAATTGTCTGGTACATTGTCTGGTATAGCTGACAGGCCATGCAGATACCCGGTCAGCAAGTTATAATCTATTAATTGCTCCATCTTCTGCTTTACCGAGTCTGCCTGCTTCATGGGCAGCATCAGCCCACAATCAAGAGAAACAAACCATGGAGGTGATACAGCAGTCCACACAATAGCACTGCGCTTTCAAGACTGCAAACAGATTAATAATAGGGAGCTCAGCTGTGCCCACGTGCACTCCTCAAAACTTAGATCGAGTTTTTAACCATCTCTGTCAGAGAGCTGGGTATGGAGGCAGTGCCTGTGAGAGCCCCTTTGGAATCTAGAGCTCAACACAGAACAACACATTTCTTTGCAGCAAATTTTTTTGCATCCTTATCCACAAAGGACATTTCCTCAAGAAACGAGATGGGAGGGGAAAGAAACCCAAACAAATAAAACAAAGAAAGATGTCCTGCAGCAAATCTGTTTATCTAAAGAATTTTTTTAAAGAAGTAACACATAAAATAACGGAGAATACTATGAAGGATACTAAGAAAGCAACAACAAAAATTCCACAGTAGATAACCCTTAAACTGAGAGTCAGGTACGTACAGTTCGGCAGAAACCACCCCTTTCCATATGTAACTGGATAATCCATGGCTGCTGATGCAACTTTCCAGAGGGTTGAGTGTACATCACATTCATTACAACTTCTTATCAAAAGGCGTCTCAGGGAATTGCCATGCTATTTATCAACTGACAAATCTCACTCTCCACAGAGCTATCTTTGTACGCTTAGGTCCTCCTTCCCATCCAAAAACTAAGGATATAGGTGCTGGTGCCATATCATCCAGCACTAAAAAAAAAAAAAAAAAAAACCAAAAAAAAACCACAAGCCCCTAGAGAATATTCGAAGAAACACACTCGAGCTAGTTTGCAAAAATCCGAGTTTATCAGGGCAGCTCCTTGGAGAAGGGGGGAAGATTTCAGGTTTTCGCTGAAGGGTTTCAGCGCTGTGCGGGTAAACTCCTGTGATTACGACTTTAATATTAGCGATTCCTTATCCCTCGCTTTGCAGCCGGAGCCCCGCGGGGAGCCGGGGAACGAGGACACCCAGCCCCGCCGTGCCCAGCCCAGCCCCTACTCACGGAGCGCGGCAGCTTCGCCGGCCCGGCGCCGAAGTTCGCGACCTGCCGCCCTCCCTCCGCCGCTGCCATGCTGCCGCTCCTGCTTCGTCTGCCGGCCCCGCCGCTAGCCCTCCGCTATAAACCCGCGGCCGCCGGGGCCCGACACTTTCCACCCCGGTCCCGGCCGCTCATTGGCAGCGCTGCCGCGGTGAGGCGGCCTGAGGGGAGGGGAGGAGAGGGGAGGAGAGGGAGGGGAATGGCGGGGGAGGGCCGGGCGCCGCGGAGCTCCGCGGGGTCCCCACAGCGGCGCGCCCCCCGCGGGCAGCGCAGCGAGCTCTGGCGCTCACGAGCCGCCCACGCTGGGGTGGCGTGCGGACAGACAGACAGACTCACAGACACAGACACGCTCACAGAGAAACACACACGCACACCCGGGAATGCAAGTCCTACTGTAACTTCCTGCCTCTGCTTTTCCCCCCACTCGGGTGCTGCAGCAGCCCTGGGATGCTTGTTCCAAAAGCAGTCTGGGTGAATGGGTGAGAACTTAAAAAGCAGCAACCCACAGTTACAGTGAATTTTAGGAGATCCTTCATATTTCATATGAAATGACAAGAGGCAACAGACAGACACTGATGTACAGGAAGTTCCACCTGATTACGAGAAAGCACTTAACTGTGCAAATGACCACGCACTGGAACGTGTTGCCCAGAGGTTGTGGAGTCTCCCTGGCTGCAGACACTTAAGAACCATCCAGGTACAATCCTGTACAATGTATTCTAGTATGTCCCTAATAAAGCTGTGAAGCTGAAGATCACCCACCATATCCAACCAGACCGTTTCTGTGATTCTGTGATTCATCTTGAAAGAGATGGATTTACAGTACCCAGATCTTCTAATATTTTGTGTGAAATACTTACCTTGTAGAGGAGGAGGATCCCTTCCTTCTGTAAGCCATCAAGTGTCTGCATGTTGTGCAGTTTCCCCAAAAAGTCTGTTGCAGGAAAATTGCTATTTTAATTTCACCAAAGAGAGTAAAAACAGGAGAGTGTGAAACTTGATCACCTTCACGTAATGGATAGCATAGCTTGGACTTGCCTTGAGGTATGCCAAATCCTAGGCTAATATCCCTGAATACTGAAGCATTCCTCCCACAGGTATCTATGCAAGGTATCTGTCGTATCTTGGTTCATTGAGACACAGATAGTACAACTCATCTGTTGTAACTGAGAGAAAGAGACTTTAGCTCATTCCATTTTCTGACTGTTTCAGGGAGAGACACTCTGCCCAAGTCAGTTTTTGAGGTTATTTTAAAGGCAGTAGCAGTAAACCAATTTCGACAAAGCAAGCCATGAAGTATGACTGAAAACAGATGGGCATCATAGAATCTCATAATTTCCAAGTATCTTGGGCAGGATTCACAATTCTTATATGTAGCTGTACAATGCACAGCTCTTGAACACATTAGGTTGCCCAGTCTTTCCTGTAACACTGGCCCTATTTTAGTCTCATGGGTGTTCACCAAGCTAATCATCAACATTAATCATCTGTAAAGAAAACTGCAAGTATAGATGTCTGTTATTTTGAGAATTCTGAGATATATATAAAATACCATTTTTCATTACCAATTATTTCACTGAAGAAATACTGAATACGCAAATTTGTTCATTTTCTTGTCAAGCCAGGTGATACCTGGAACCATAAAAAATAATTTACAGACCACGGCCTGGTCTGTATTTAGTTGAAGGATTTTCATCTCAAGGAAGTTATTTTATTTAAAAAATTGTAAACAGAAACATTGGTGTTAGAGCAAAGATAACTTTCATTTCAATGATAGCTACAGCTTAAGAAAAACCTATCAAAAGTGCTTTCAGACACCATAAACCTCTGCAGTTTTTAAGAGATAACAGCAAACTTCACAGACAACACAGGTTGGATATATTATCTTCAAAACACCAAGGTATTTTTAAAGTATGTCTCACACCACAATACCCAGAACTACATTACTTCTTAGTTATAATTAAACAGAAACTGCTACTGAAGTGCTTAGATGTGACAAAAATTAGATAGATGTGACTAAACAGAGATATGACTAAAATTTTTTTTACTAGTGTCTCAAATTGAAGTAAGATCAAAAGATACAGGCTTCTCAAAATGGGCTTTTTCCAGTATTAAATCTAAAGCACCGTGTAGGCCCAGAGAGGCAACTTAAAACTCCACTCTGGCTAGGAAAACGGAGTCCAAAGTAGTAAGGGGTAGTGGAAGCAGTCAGAAATAGTGTACGTTGGGAATTCAGGTCAGGAAGCCTGCCCACTTCTACAGAAGTGCTTCAACATCCTGCCGGGATCAGTCTTGAATCCCAATTGTGTGGCACAAACCACAAGAGAAATTAAAACTTTGGAATTAAAAATGCATTTCAAATGCTGGCACAAAGAGCTAGAACACAAAAATAGAAACAAGACAGGCTAGTACTTGTATCAGCTCAGAGCACTGGTGGAAATACCAGGTATTGGAGCTTTCAGTTCACAGAAGCCTCATCCTGACCAGAAGGGTCAAAAATAGCAGCTCCCATGAGATCAGAGGACAGCTCCGCTGGAAGCCTTGTCACCCAGAAGCTTTAGAAAACCCTCTCCATACTGTGCATTGATGGGAAGTATATAAAATTAGAAAGAATGTATAAATGTGAAATTTTAGCTGCAGACAAGGGATCATTATGCTTTTGCAGATTGAAAGAATAAAGAGAAATAGTATAGGTTTCATTACAGCTTTGTTTGTAATTACATCAAAAAACATGAATTCCGTCATGGAATCATACCCATAATTCCTAGTCACTGAATATAAGCTTTCAAAACCATTATTTCCAGGAATGCTTTGACTTCTACCATTTGACAGAGAATTTCAAGTGCCACAAATCAGTCCATGCAGATAAACCTGGATTTGCGTAATTAACACAACAGCAAAGAGAGCTGTATTTACTACGATGCATAACTGGAAAAACAAGACAGATTGAAAGAAAAAATGTAAATAAATTTTCAGAGTTTTCAGTGAACTTTTATTAGGTTCATTGTGACTTCATGTTATGCTGGACAGCAAAACCTTGATCGACAGCTGCTGGAAAAGAATCAGCTCACTCAAGGAGAGCACGTGTACACGACTTCTCTGTCTGGTACCACAAATGGACGTCATTATTAAAAGACAAATAATGCTGACTACATAGCAACCTGGCAAGCGTTTCAGGAGGCAGCTGGGATATCTGGTCCAGTGAACTAGTGAGATGAGCAAATTTTGGTGAAACCTTACACTTCAGTGGTTCAAACAACCATTTGGGCCTATTTTCTTTTTCAGAGATCGAAGTCTGAACTATGAAGAGTAGGTATTGGGAAGACTAAGTGAAAGGAGAAAAATTATTGAGCTTTATGAGTAAACAGTAACATGTTCTCTTGCAAATAGCTGGCCTATTGATTTCAGGCTTTTAGGTCAAACAAGAACAAGACAACTATGTAAAACATTAACTAACAGCAGGAGAATGAAACTGTTTCTATACAATCTCAGGGTAGAAAATGGTTTCCTAATAATTTAAAATAAAAATGTTTTTACTTTTTATTACAATACTTTACTGTTAAATATATACAGAATATATATGTTTATATGTGTAAAATGCTTTTTGGAAGTTCTTGGAAGTTCTGATGTATTCATGATAGCCTAAGAAAGAATACTTCTCCCCAAGTAGCTCCAATCCATTGTCTCTGCCAATTTCAGATCCAACTACATATAAAGCATACACTACAGATTCTTACAGTAAGAGTGCAATACCATAGCACCAGTAACATGAAGAATCATTCATGTTCCTAATTTAACAGGAAAAAAAAGGTTAAGTATTAATCCACTGAAAAAAGTATGCCCATCTAAATTGCAAACTTCCTGGTCAATTTTGCTTTAAAAGATGATTTTGGACATAATTCATACTCTAAATATTGAAAAGCAAGTATTTAACATGAAAGGTATTAAATATCACCTGCTTTTGGACATGTAATACATAAATTATTCTAAGTTCTTAATTGTATTTTTAGGGACAAGTAACAGATGCCTAACTCCTAACCTCACAAACAAAACACTTCTCAATTTATAATATTATCCAGCATTTCTCAGTGATTAGCTTTAGAATTTTATATTTTAAAGAGGTAGATTTTTACTGCTGAATACACAGACTGCACATAATTGTTTAGTCAGACCAAAATCACAAACAAAGAATGACTGAAAAATTAGACAGGTAGTTGGGAAAATATGTAAAAAGTAACAGATTAATATATTACCTTCTAATATTCTGAAGGGATAAAGTCGGTACAAAGAACATACTTTCATTGTGCAATTACTAGTACAATATTGCAATAGCTAATGTAATCTTGTGCTATTTGCTCTGTAGGATTGAATTTGAGGTTTCATGAGTTTTTTCATATTCGTCAAGCAACTGGAGTCAGGAATTTCTACAGATCTTATGTGTTCCAGAAATCACATAGCAGATGACTAAGTAAAAAATAGTTAAAGGCTGCTTTTTCTCCCAGTTCAGCCTCAATCATCCTGCCTCGTTCCTGTATATAATAAGTATATTCTACTTCAGAAGCTGCAAACCAGCTACCTGTGCACACAGACAAGAACAAGATGCCAGGGCTAATTAAATCCCAGGAGTTTTAAAACAAAGGTAATTCTCTTAGCTTTACATTTTCACATTTCTCTAGTTTCTGAAAGCAATCCGAGTTAGACTATACATCCTCCAGAGGCCCCTTCCAACACGTACTATTCTATGATCTGCAGTCATAGCACTAATGATGGTTGCATTTAAAGGTTTCCTATAGCAATAGTTCTGGGCTCATTTTTGACTCTGAAACTTCCACTAATTTTCGGAATATCATACCCACACACGGCTATGCAGGAATCAATGTCTGCCCCAAAACCACTTCTGCACTCCCACTGGAATACACTGAAAATAAACACTAGGAAAAAACTGTACTCAAATTAACTTTATTAGCTCAAAAATCTGTGATAATGAAATCCATATGTTGAGTCCGTCATGTGTAGTACAAACTCATTGGTACCATTTTAGGTGTATCGCATGTTTTCAAAACTAAAAATCTATTG